GTATTGCATTGGGAGAGGCTTTGTGTCGAGGGGTCTGTTGAGAATCGGGGTCCCCAGATGGGTAGTTTGGTAATGAGCCGGTAGAGAGTTGGCCCACCAGGTATGCACCTGTGGCCATGCGGTTCAGACAATAGGATGGGCAAAGCACTTTGACGCTATCAGCTCACTGTCAAGATGCTGCCACTCACTGGGTAGGGAAATTGTGCTTTCGCTGGCTACCCTCTTCCGGTGGCATTGGAAATGGTGGGCTTTTACACGGTCCCAGGTATATAATTCGAGTAAGTCATACAGGTTCATTGTATATATGAACAGTCCAGTCGCAAGCTCATCCTGGAAACCATACGCCGCAAGTTTCACCAGTATCCCACTGTAGGCAGCCCATGCCTTAAAGAAAACAGTCATGTGGTATTCCCCCTCCTTGCCATCATGTTGTGTCTGCTTGAATTCTACTCCGCTGATTGTGATGGTTCTTGGAGTCTCAGCCCTTTCCTTTGCGCTAGCCAGGAGGCGGTAGACGTTGGTGGTCTTGAACCTATTGTCAATGATTTGGGCGAGGGTGCTGTGTTCCACCCCAGGAAAAAGTACTTCCACAGACTCCGCGATGCCAGGTGCTCTCTCCCGCTCCATGCCTGTTATGTGTAGGGTGGGAAGGTACGTACTGGATTCTCCTATCCCGTGACTACTGTAGGGTACAGCCAGGATTCTTCCTGTACAGAGTTGGCTGATATGGTCTTCGAGGTCTCTAATAGGTTGTAGCATAGGATCGGTTTGTCGGTTGTTGGCTGGTTGCCTGGAAGGCTGGGGAGTTGCATGGTTTGCTATTGGGTCTGAGTTCCAGTTTGTTCCCTCCAGCCGGAGCCTGAGAACCACTTGGTTAACGGTATCGTTCTCATAGGAGAGGAGAAGGTCACGGATATTATTGATTGTTATAGCGGCGGTTCTCACAGGTGAGCTTGGCTGGCATGGGGCTGATTTGGGTGGATTGAGATGGATTTTGGAGTGTGCTGAGGCTGTCGTTGGTGTATTGTATCCTGGGCTTTCCATTTTGAGTGTCCTTTGTACTCGGCCATCTTGTCAGCTGGGGATGATTGTCTCGCTTTCGCTGTTAGGAGTGACCGTTTCTACACTTCCTGGCAGGCTGGCCTCCACGTCTGACTGATTACTGTATCTTTGTGGAGCTCTGCGGTTTCTCGTAATCTTGCAGATACCGGCTGTTGAACTCCTTCTCCGTGTTTCAGTCATGTCAGCTCTACGCGTTGAACCTCTTCAGTGATGTATTGTATGGTTCTGTGTTGTGTTGTGTGGTCTCTAGGTCCTGGCATTAATGGGTTCTGGGTAGTGTGGGTTTGTTTGTGCTGGACGGATGTCGATAAATAACACGATCTGTAAGGAGGTTTGCGGATCTTGTATTTTGTGGAAGCTTGTAGTAGGAAGACAGCTTGTGTTGTGGGATTTGTGGCATTAAGTGGTGTAGGCCGTTGGCGGGGCAGCTCTCGTGGAGCTATGAACCCTCGCTTTGCGTGGTGGTGGCTATACTGTTTTCCTTCTACCCCCGAGACATCTCTTCCTCCCTGGGCCTTGAACACATCTACTTTGCCCAATTGGCAATAGCTTCTCCGAATCCACCATTATGGAGGTCTTATTATCATAGCATCGCCAGGACCCGAACTGTTGTTGCTGTGTGGCGGGTTACATGTCCCAGGTGTGTGAAAACTGAAGTTTTGCTAAGCAGGATATAAATCTTGGTGTGGTGTGAAAAACATTTCGTTCGCGTTGGTGCGAGCGTTATCAAGCTTTTGTAAACAATATTGTCAACACCATCCCTCAACAAGTGTCATATTATTGAAGAATTATTTATAAGCTATGACTGGCGCAGCAAACCCTCCCTCTTGCAAACCTTAACTGCAAGCACCCATTGCCCCTAAAATGCTGCCATCCCGAACAGGATATTAACAATAAAAATGTACATTTCAGTCACTACCACCAGAACCACCCTAACCGCCCCCCGACAGTGGTGAGAATGCCGAACGGGCACTCAAATCTTGGAGCCCCTCCACAGTAGCTAGCTACTCGCATTTGCCCGGTAAAGTCTCACAGCTTTCGCGACACTGGTGCATGTGCTATCCTCAGCTGGAGTATCCTGTCCTGCAATCTTTGTCTGCAGAATCTCTGGCTCTCGGTTACAGCCTCCACGATCCTCATATATCGGCCTCCTGTTTGCGGTTACTATCCAATTAGCTCCAGCAGCTGCGACAAACACAATAAGTAGTTCCCTACTCCTAGGGTTGAACTCGGAAAAATATAATGACAAGCAGGTGATAAAGGGGATGTTTCAAAACTATAGGGTTTATGAAACAAACCGCATTGTGTGTTGGATGTACGATGAAGGGAAAATAGGAGCTGTTTGTGGAGATGCTGGTGGAGTGTTTTGTGCAGTTGTTTGTGGTTAGGGAATTTGGAAGGCAACAGCGAGGCTAGCGGTATTTAAATTCTCATTCTCCCCCTCTCAATCACCCGGCCACCAGTAGTCTGACTGCTGCCAGAGGAACAGATGTGAGAGCTACTTTTCCCAAGCCGTAAGTACCAGAAAACGAGGTATAATACAGGTTAATTTCAAAAATTCATAGCAAACTAACTACAAGTCGTATCCAAATCCTGGTAACCAACTTACAAGCATGTTGTGGATGGGCACTCAGATAGGCGCAAACGATTTGCCAATACTCGAGTATATTTCTTCAATATTTGTTTTCTCGTGGTTAGACTATGGCCTATGACGAGTACAACGAAACCCTGGTCCACGTGTCACATCCCTAGCTGGTGTGCACACTCGCTGAGCCCCTTTCATCCTCCCTCACTGCGTCGATATTTCCCTCTATGAACATCACCAGCAGGCACACCCTCGGCCCTTGTCGCCACCACCGAAAAGCTTCAGGACTTTCTGACGACCCAAAGCGTCGGCCTCGCGCATATAACTGAATTCCAGAAGCGTAGCGTGGAGCTGATGGAACAGCGAGGCCGCGAGGCTGCCGGGAAATTACAACAAATGCGCACCAGCGGGGGCTGGGGAGGCGCCCACCGACGGCGGCGGCGGCAAGAGAACGGAGAAGCGTAGGAGGGTTGCCAAGGGGCAATTATCATTCGCGGGGGGGAGGACATTCAGGGCAATGGTACAGACGATGGCGGCGATCATTCACACGCCCATCTAACGAGGCCCTATAGGGAGGATAACAATGACGGCAGGGAGGAGGATGAGATGGAGAAATGGAAGGTGAATCCGAAATTGGGGCCGCCACTCCGCAGGGCTGGACGAAGAATACTCTTTTGAGGGAGGCTCGGGAACGGGAGACATTGAGGAGGGAGTTTTCGGCCGCCAGGAGAAGATTAACAACGAAGGGATTTGCATTCCGTTTCTCTTTTATGATGGCAGGTGTCATTAATACTCGGATTTCGGGAGGGGACCCAAATCTAATACCTACAGGGTACCAATGTCGCGCCGCCAACCAGAGAAGCCGTGACGGGCCGGACGGGCCGGGCTATATGGCTATTTCCTGAACTTGCTACGAGAATGGCTGGACGAACGGAGTAGGTCAGTGCATCGGCGGCTGACTTACTACTGGTTTGCCGGGAAGTGATAATACCGCACGTACATCTCCCGCCCCTCCCACCTCCTTCCCCAGTAATCGCTAACCCACTCGACAGCAGTCTGGACTTGAATACCCACCGCCAATCGCCGAATGGGGCCCAACTGTTTATTTTTCGATATCCCCTTCACCGCTATTGCCCACCCCCCTGACCTGTATTGAAATTCACAGGTCCTCCGACACCACCTAACCATCCGGGGACCTTCCTGGAGGTGCCGAAGGATTTGTAAAGCTTAGACACATGATTGGTAACCGCGATGGAAGGTTCTGGAGGGCGTTTCCTATGAATGTATTTTAGATTAGTTTTGAAGGCCATGGGAATGAACAGCACGAGGCAGCAGCATGGATGGTGATTGGTTAAGAAAGCGGGGTAGACTGAAGCTGATAGAATCTTAGAGAAAAACCCAAGAGAAGGGTGGAAGAAAAAGAGTCGGATATGTTGTAGACCAAGGAAAGTGGTCCGGGAGGGGAAGCGATCCCACAAGTGTATATAAAGATAGGTGTTCCTCTGGAGGAGAAGTGATGGAGGCAAGAAAAATCAGAATCAAGTTTGGCCCCACACAGAACAGAAAAGAAAAAGCTTCCAAGCGCAGAGAAGAGACGACAGACGATCACGATTTTCAACAACCTGTACTCAGAACGCCAAATGGGATGACTCAACAGTGACCAAAGTGGTGGATCGTCGCTGGTGGAAGCAGAATAAGCACATATTCCCCGCTAGGGTATGGATGGAATTCTATACTGGTACGGATTACTCCAACACGGTACGGCGGGATGTGAGTGGGAATGCCTCCTTGGTTGAACTAACCACCATTTTAACGATCGACTTTGGCTGCACGACGATGGAGGAGCGGAAGATGGGGTACCATAATATCCCTCAGCACACCATAGTATGATACTATACATGCTATGCTCTGATGTTTTTTTTGCCTTCTTCTTCTTTGTTTTCTCCTTTACCCTCCACCGGGTTGACACCGTGGGCTACGGGGCTCAGTCTTATCCTGGGACCCTAAAACCTTTCATGATCAATGAAACTGATGATTGGATGCGCCACTCCATTGCAAGTACGGGGATGCGTCGTCATCAGGCTCCCGCCGTGCTGCACATGCTCGACGGTGGTAGTTCCCCGTCTCTGCAACAGCATCTATTTTCTTCCTCACAATGTACCCGATCATCATCACCCTCATCATCCTCACAACCCTCATCTTCTTTGGCCTG